TTACAGCTCTTTGTGTGCATTGCATCCGCAGGGCTCGCCTTGGAGCCCTGCCTGCCTTCTCCTCTGCACCACCACAGTGACTGTGCTATCTGCCTGCTCTACAAAAACCCCCAAAAACCAGGGCTGGTTCCTCTCTTGCTGTGCAGTGCTGTTTTCTGCTCTGCTCCAAACCACTTTTTAAGGAGTGTTTGCTCTGAGTTGCTGTTTTCAGTTGACAGAGCTCGCCTTGGAAAGCAAATACTCAATGCTAAAACATCCCCGTATTGCTTCTCAATAGTTGTAATCAAAGTCTGTCTCCTTTATTGTTCCTAGCAATTGTTCAATTTTACTGTGCCAGCCCTATTTATTAAAAATAGTCAATAAGATACAGCTTTGTGCGAGGGGTTTATGGACTGGCAGTTCTTGTTTGAAGCAAACCAATTGTACTTGATTCTAATCCAGAACTGGGATTCCTGAGTGATCTGCTGCAGAGAGCTCATGGGGAGAGCGGTCGATGGCTTCTGATAAGAAATCTTGGAGCAGCACGCTTATCTTGGATTTACCTGAGCTTTGCTTAAAGTGCTGGATTCTGAAAGGCAAGAATTGCAAGTCATACATTTTTCCCCTTTTCCAGCCTGTGTTGGGCCACACTTGTTCCCCAGTGCCCAAGAGTATTTACAGAACTAATTGCCAAAGTCAGAATCCTCTTAAAAGCTGGTGAGCAGGACGTTCAAGGTGAGAGCTTATTGTGGCAGGAGCAGGGCGTCAGATCAGCTCTACTCATGGATCCTGCTCTCTTGGAAAAGCATGAGGCATCCCAGACTACAAATGTGTGCAGTGAGAAAGGACAGGAGTTGTTGGGAAGGATGATGGGGAGCAAAAACCTGGTGAATCCTGGAAACAAGGTGCCAGTTGGGGCTGGAAGATCAGTAGGAATGTAGGAGCAGTGGATTCAGCTTCCAGGGCTTTTTTGTGCTCAGCAAACATTTTTCTGGGCTGGAGCAAGCCAGGGCTCGGCAGAGCCTGTGTAAGCATTTTGGGAGAGGGGAAATTATGAGGCATCCTGGCAATGCCCAGCTGTAGGTGGGGCAGCAAGGGAAAGGAGCTGCAGGGCAAAGCTGGGCCTTGCAGATGGTTTGGCTTTTAGTCACTGCCCTCACAACATCATCAAGGCTCCTGGAGCCTTCTGTGATTCAAGTCATGACTTGGAGGCTTCAGAGGAAGTGCTTGGGAGCAGGTAGGAAGGGCCTGGTTCAAGTGGGAGAGGAAAATCTTTTGTTTCCTTGTTTAGGAAGGTGTGAAGCACAGTGGTTGGGAGAACGAGTCTTCTGAACATGGATTGATGCAGCAGGGTTTGTGGATTTTCCTTAGGGCTCTTCCAGCCAGCAGAGATCACTGAACTTCTTTCCTCTCACTGTATTTCAATTTGATGCCTTTCTTTGTTTTCCATATTCATTAGAAATCTGTTGCAGAGTTTTCTGTTTCTAGAGGCAGTTTCCTTTTACTTCTGACATACTTGATCTCCTCTCCTGTTACACTGGGATCAGGGCAGCTCCTCTGTGCCCATGTCATTCTTGCAGCTTCTTTAAAAACGGTGTCTGCACCCCAAAACTCTACACTCCCAAAAGAAATCTAATCTCCAGCATTCATAAACAAATAGAAACGCTTATCTTTGCCCCAAAGATAAGGATTTTTGGCCTTGCAATTCATTTAAGTTGCATCTGAATGGTAGGATTTAGTTATAATATATGGTCTGTGGCCATTGTGTGACAGTGACTAATGCTTGATGACCAGGCTGGCCAGGCAGGGTGGAATTCTGCTGTGCTGTCATGCCCTGAGCACGGAAAGTGAAGCAGCTCTGGATGGCCCGTGCTTGGCACTGCGCTGTCAGTCGCCTCCTTAATGACTCTCTTAAAGAATAAAGCATCAGCCTCCCAGAAAGCTTTTTTAGCTCTGTCCCTTCTTTATGTACTGTGTCTCCTCCCTGCCCCCAGCTCTTGCCTTGTGCTGCCTCCAGTGTTTTGCTTCCTCTTCCCCCTTTGCCCTCATACCTTGCCCCTTCTCCACACCTGGTTTTCTGCCCTGCCTGACTCCTGCTTCTGAAATACACCACTTGTTTTCCAGTCCACACTATTAATCTTTGTCCCACCTACTCATGAGGCATGAAGGTTTTACAGGAGCCATTAGCTGTTATCTCTATCCCTACCCTCCAAACACTCCAGGAAAAAGCAGGGTCTTACAGTCTTCATGTAGGGACAGCACCCACTCTTTTTGCAGGTCCCAGATTTCCTTTGTGAAATCTTGAAGCTCCTCATCCTTCTGCTCAGAAGAGAGGAATTTTTGCTTTAAAATGCCTCTTATCCAAAAGCTGCTGGGTTGTCCACAGCCCGTCCTGCCCTTCCTGCCTTGATCATCTCCGATGCTCCCCAGGGTTAATTTAATCCCTTCGTTTGCTGGATCCTGCCTGGGCTTAGGGGCAGCAGAGCTGTCCCCATGGCCCTGGGAAGTGCTGCTGTGGTCATGAGGGCAAAACTCCTGCAGTGGAGTGTGGCTGGGAGGGAGGGGGTGGCTGGCAGGATCAGCTGGGCTATAAAGGGAGCCTTTTCCTTAGCCTTTATCTCTGCTGCCTTGCCAGTGCAAATTTGTGCTGTACGTGAGCTCTACCTTAGTTTTTCTTTTAAGAAAAGCTGTTCTCACCACTACTCCTTGCTTTTACTTTCAAAACATGCTTTGAAGGCAAGCACTTTTGGGGTGTCTGTATACAGGCAGTGTATTCAGAGCCTTTTTTTGTTGGTATTTGAGGCACTGCTGCCATTTTCTGCCCTGTTTTCCCCATCTTTGCAGAGATCAGTGTTACCTGCATTTATCCAACCATGCTACCCATCATCTTGGGGTTTTTTTTTATCTCCTTTTATACAGAATGCTCACATCTCATCCCCCACTTCCAGTCTTATTTTTCCTGTTGCTGTTTTCCTTCTGTCTGTCCTCCACCTTGGAAGGTTTCCAGCCAGGCTGTCCAGTCCAGCTCTGCAGATCCCACCGTGTGTGCTCCCTGGCCAAGCCCTGGGGAAGCACAGGGGAGAAGCTGGATGCAGGCAGCCTGCAAATGCTGCCTTGTTTATGAGAGCTGCTTGTTGGTGCAGACTGCAGTCTGGGGGGAGCTGGGAAAGTTTGTCTGGCATGAAGCACTAAAGCTGACAAAGGATTGTAGGGCTTGGGCTGGAATCGATAAAACACGGGGTGTTGGGAAGGGAAGGTCAGAGCCCTTCCTTAGTTCACCCTGTTCTTTAAATATCCCAGCAATTACTGATGGCTGCAGTGGACACGGGGGAAAACAAGACAGACTCAGTCCTCAGAGGGTCTTGCTTTTATTTATTTGGATGCAGATCTGGCTCCCCTGCTCCATAAGGCGTTTGGTTTTGGGGATCCTTTCTGTGCAGCCTGGTCTCGTGGCAGGAGGTTGGAACAGGATGAGCTTTAAGGTCCCTTCCAACCCAAACCATCCTGGCATTCTGAGATGCTGTGAAATCCCTCGTGTAGAGGCGTTGCAAAATGGTAGCAACCTACATCTGCTTGTCTGGGAGACATCCCAGCGCCCGGTGCTGCGGCTCTTGAACTCCTCTGCCTTAATGGGTCAAATTTAGCAATTCAAAATCTGGCTTCTGAGGTAATTAGGAGGGATAATGCCCACTTCTTCCTCTTAACACCCTGATAGAAAAGCATCCAGGAAGGACTCCTGGACCTCAAAGATAAGCTGCCAGCTGCCACAGAGACTATCAAAGGGTGGCTCAAAGTCAAGAGCAAACAGCTGATTTTTTATGGTTCTTGGGTTTTTGCTGGTGGTGACAGGAAGCCATGTTCCCCAAGCTGTTCGCTTCCTGTTTTATTTTTACACCCAGCCCGAGCAGATCCGCATGCCTATCACATGGGAGCTGCCTGCTTCTCTTGGGTTGTTCCTCAGCTGACCTAGAAAAGTGATTCTTTCCCCTTCTAAATTAATCAAGAACTTGGGATGTATTTGCTTTCACTTAGTCCTAAAGATTTCAGGCATGTATGATGTGTGAGCTGGTCACACAGGTTTCCTTCTCCCTCCTGGAGCTGGACGATCTGGGACGGAGCTGTTTGATGCTTAAACGTTGGGCCTGTTAGCAAAGGAGATTTTTGTTAGTTCAGGACACTGACCTGCACATAAAAGTGTCCAAAGCATAACTTCCAGACACTTAGGTTTTCTCCAGGTTTTTTATTTTATTAGTTTTTTAAAGAACTGGAAGTTTGTCCTGCCTGTTGTCCAATCAATCCTGACTTGCCTCTGAGCAAACTCCAGTCCTGCATCCTGAGCAGAGCTCCCTCAACCTTAAACTGCTCTAGCACAAAAACAATGGTCCAGTGTAAACCTCATCCCCGGGGGATTTCCCAAGGGAAGAGGGGTGCAGCCTGCAGGATAAGGAACAGTCACCAGAAAGTTTCCTGGTCAGCTGCAAGCGCTTCCTGTTGTTCCAGGAGAGCCCCGTGTGCTGCTCCAGGAGGGAGGCACCACGTGTGCTTTGGCGTGCTGGGAGAAGCCTGTTTTGTTCTTTCTTTTTTTGTGTAATAACATCTCCTGTCTTCATCTCCGCGGTTTAAGCAACTATTGATTGCAGGTTGGGAGTGTTTCTGAGGAGGAGCTGGTCAGAGTCGTGCCAGGCGCTGTGTGAGCGCGGGAGGCAGGAGCCCTGGCCGGGCTCTGGGCAGGAGAGAAGCAACGCCTGCAGCAGCACTGGCGGTGTGGGCAGAGGTGTGGAGTTCCCATCTCTGCCTCTGTACCTGGGCTGGTGGGGCTCCGCTGCCACTGCCAGTCAGAGAACAGGAGGATCTTTATTTCTGATGAACCAGTTTCTCAGGGTGGGGAGCGGGGGGAAGAAGGCTTATAAGTGAAGCCGTTTGAGAGCAGGAAAAACGAACACCATGGCTCTGGTGTGCCTGGAATTTGCGGTTGAGTAATCCTTTCCTGTTTCTTTTTTGGGTTGTTTTTCATCTTTCAGAACAGTGCCTGAAGCAGGTCCACCATGCCGTTAGTAACGAGGAACATTGAGCCAAGGCACCTGTGCCGTCAGACGTTGCCTAGCGTTCCGAGCGAGCTGGAATGCGTGACCAACATCACCCTGGCAAATGTCATTCGACAGCTGGGCAGCCTGAGTGAGTACCATGGCGAGCCTGCGCGGTGCCCTCAGGAGTCGCTACTGCTCTTTATTTAGCTCCCTTTCTACTCTCGTGTTCCTATTTCTCCCCCATCTGCCTTCCCTGGGTAATGCTAAAATGTTTTCCTAAAGAAATCTGATGCTAATTTCATATCCCTGGTCCCACTGCCTTCCTATCGAAGAGAAAATGGGGAGGGGGGTGTGTGTATGTGTGTGTGCATGTGAGAGGCTGCAGTGAAACTGCAGATGGAAGGATGGAGCACAACTCAGGCTTGTAAAATGGGAGGCTCTCGGAGCAGGCAGGATCTTGTGTCAGAGAACGTGCCTGTAATTGCATGCGCTACTAAATGGAGCTTGACTCTGTTGAATCTACACCATGTCAGTAGCCTTATTTTTAATGAAAGATAATTAAAGCCCCCACGCAGAAGCTCCAGTTTGCCCTTGCTGCTGTTTGTTGCGCTGTGAGACCCAAAGACCTGTCTGAGCCCAGTGGTGCCTCCCGAGCATCGGTGGTGTGGGGCTGCTCACTCAAATGGCAGCATGAGCTGGAGCAGTGCCTGCCTCAGCTCTCCAGTGGGCTGACCCGGAGCCTTGGAGAAGCTGGAGGGAAAACACAGGCCTACATGCTGCAGGAGAAATGAAGAGTTAATTGTGTTCTCTCCGGGATGACTCCAACTCCGTTGAAATGCTCTGGGTTCTGATTAACCACCTTTGTCCTTGAAGCGAGACTTTGATAATCAAATTAATCTATTGTTTAGCTTCTCTGGGGTGTTTGCAAGCCCTTCTGCTTGCTCTGCAAAGCAAGCCCTTGTCTTCCGCCATGTGGCAGGCAAAGTTTGGGTGCAGCCTCTTTCCAGCAGTGCAAACCATGGCTGTCACTGAAATCTGGGCCCGTGTTTGCTGCCAGTCGGTGTCACATTCTGTTGGGTTGGAGAAATGTCACTGCACAGGCAAGAGCAGGCTCTGCTCGTGTTCAACTGGCCCTCGTTGTTCATTTGTTAGGTCTGGTAGCCAAGATGGTTGTGGAGTGTGAGTGAAATCCATCTCGTGCATGTGAAATGGTGAGGAAGGAGGCAGTAAAGCTGTGCAAAGCCCAGCTGCAGGGAAGGCTCATCCCTGTTCAGAGACACGCTGTGGGTTTGTGTGACAGCCCTGGCCAGATCCCACAGGTTCAGACCTTCTTTGCTCAGATATTCAAAGCTGCTCTGCTTCTGAGGCACTGGGAGCCAAATCACAGCCTGGTTTCTCCTTTGGGAAGGGAGCTGGGATGTGGGGATGCAGGGAGAAGGTGTGAGCTGCTGGACCAGTCATAGGTACCTGGGGGGAACTGAGGAGAGGTGCCTCCTGCTGACACTTGGTGTGAGAGCAGAGCAGGGCAGGTGGGAGGGAAATGCTGAGCACCATCCACTTCCCCAGGGTCAGCAGTATTTTAAGTAAAGCAATGTTCAGACTACACTTGCACCCAAATGACCAAACTCCTGCCCCCTGCCCTTTCCTCTCTCCAAAAAACAAATTCTCCCTCTCCTTGTACCTTGGCTATTACAGGAATGTAGAGCAGGTTCAGTAGGCTGTGACAGCCCTGTCAAGTGAATAATCAGCCATGCCTAGTGCACCACAGTCTCTTTACAAAGATGCAAACATAAATCTTGTCAAACTTTCATATTCCAGTGAGCTTACCCTTCGTTACTATCGCAGCTGGGAGCACTTTGTATAAGTCGGCTGCGCAGTTTTGTGTGATTTTACAGAATCCACAAGCTAAAGATGGAAGGACCTATTAAATCATGCCGTCTGTCTTCCTGCCAGTGCATGACAAAGATAATTCTGATTGTAAGCTGCACTTTTGCAGTCAAAGTAACTAAACTAAAAAATTAATCTCTGTCTCACCCAATCCAAAAGTGTTTGTGAAGCTCAGGTGACGTGTGAGATGCTGGGTGATAACTCCAGGTGCACTTACACAGGCAAGTGAACACCGACCATCTCTTCTCTCTTCAGGGTCAAAACCAGTATAGAAAATGCTATTATATATTATTTTATACTTTAAATGTACTTTGCAAACCAAAGACTTAATTTTCCCCTACTGCTTGTTGCAGTTCCTTGTGAAATTCAGAGATGTTTTTCATTTCATTTCACTTCTTGTGAAAGTAGAAACGAAATTGCAACTTTTCTTTTTTTGAGCTGCTGCTGGAAGTTTTCACATTTTCCCACAGATAAATTTTTACTCTCTTTGGGTCAAATAGGAGAGCTGGTCTGTCTCGTGTTGAAAATGGAGATTGCTTCATGAAACATGGCTACAATGAGAGCTACCTGGCCCTTAAATCTCCAAACATAAAATCCTTCTCATGAGTTAGGGTTTGTTAATTGAGCATATGTGGAGTCTGCATTGTCTAGGAGTGGAAGGAAGAGGTCAGTTGAAGTTAACCTTCAGCATTTGCTTTCTACAAACACTTGGACCTGGCATTGCCACCAAAAGGGGTGGAGAAGGTTGAATTTTAACCTGGCTTGTTCCCCGTGCTTGGCAGTGTAAGGAGATCTCCTGGGAGCTTGAACAAGGAGTTGATATGTCAGCTTAGATAGCTGGGAGTGTTTGTGCAGCTGGGCTTTGGGGGATGCCCTCGCCTTGCCTTGTGCAAGGGTGCTTTGTCTCTCTGACTCTGTAGACAACCATGTTTTCCAAAATTGCTGTCGAAATTAGACTTCCAACTGGTTTTTCTTTCCTGAGTGTCGGAGAGGATCTTTAGGAGTAACAGATTCCAGAACAAACTGTTGACCATATGACGATGCACTTCAAAACCAGACTGCTTATTGGGAGCAGCCTTGTAGTCAGCAGCCGTGGCTGGAAATGTTTCCCATCAGTGGGAACACCACGGCCCATGTCTGCGGTCGGTGCCAAGTCTGCTCTGCCCTCCTGGTGGAGGCTCCCTGTCTTGGGCTGTGCCCGGGAGCAGAACAAACACAGGACTCAGTGGAAGCTCTTGGGTTTCTTCCAGGTCTCCCACCTCTGTCTACCTGTGGCCATCTCTTGTTGCACTGTGGGTTTTTAACTCCTGAGGACGAGGCCGTGTTCTTGTTACTCCTGTAAGTGCTGCAGCTCCTGAGCTGAGCCCCAGGCACTCTCATGGCCCAAACCATGGATGGTGCTTGTCACAGCAGCCCACTGGGTAGTCCAGGCTGTTCCAGAGAGAACGTCCCTGACTGAGAAGTTCCCCTTTGGTTTTGATTTAGAATCAGTGTGAATGCATCAGTTTTTCAGACAGTGCCACCTGAAGGAACAGCAGGGTCAGTGCTGTCAGCTGTGGTTTCAGCTCCAGCTTCAGGATCCTGGACTGGGTCTGCTCTTTGCTTCCAGAGTACTTTGAGCTTGTAAATGTGTGCCAGCTCCCCTGGAGGCAGGTCTGCTGAAGACTGGGAGCCTTTGAGATTCTCCAGAGCAATGAAAATCTAACTGCATTTCCTTGTCTAATAAACAGAACAGCAAAGAATCTTAAAGGACCTTCAGATGCATCCACATTCAGACCAGTGTAGTGTTGTCAGCCCTCTTTAGTTTGTTACTCTAATAGACTTTAAAGCATGTCTCAATTGTTTCCTTATTGCTTGAAGATCCCTTGGAAATGTCAGGTTTTGGTGGAACAAAGCACTTTCTTCCTGGATGTTAAATTCAACCCTGAAAACTTGAAAAAAGAGTGGTTGGTTCTTTCCTTTTCTTTCTTTCTTTCTTTCTTTCTTTCTTTCTTTCTTTCTTTCTTTCTTTCTTTCTTTCTTTTCTTTCTTCATGAAAACAAGCTGGGAGACTGCGTATGGTCTGATGTGGTTCATAAGGCTAATGTGGACACTTTAATATTGCAGGTAAATCTGCAGAAGACATATTTGGAGAGTTGTTTACTCAAGCCAACACCTTTGCCTCTCGGGTGAGCATTCTCGTCGAGAGAGTTGACCGCTTGCAAGTCAAAGTCACTCAGCTGGATCCCAAAGAGGAGGAAGGTAATGGAGTGGAGCACAGGCTGAGCATGGTGAAGGTTCTCCTTGGGTCAGCGTGGTTGGTTCAGCACAGTAAACCAGCATGACACTGCCATGGGTGTTGGAATGTGTTCCCTGAGCTGAGGGACCGTTTCCCTGCCTCCCAGTGGAGCACTTGGACAGCTGTTTTGGCTTTGCTCTTCAGTCACTCTCCACGTGGGAACTCGCTCTCCAGCAGTTGGGTGGCAGTGGATGAGCTGCTTCAGCTTGGTCACAGGGGTTCCAAAGCCCATGGGCCACTCGGGAGAGCTGTGTTGATGGAGCAGCAGGTCTTGGCAGCACGCTGGAGATTTGATGGGTTTCCCAAGGGATCTGTGGGAAAAGGAACCTGACCTTAAGAACTGCAAAGCATGACAAGAACTCCAACTGAAATCAGATGTTCACTGCTTGGGCTTCAGGGTCATTGGCCTGGGTCAAGCTGTTCTTCACTTGTTCTCTCCTCTTCCTTACAGTCTCCTTGCAAGGCATTAACACCAGGAAGGCCTTCAAAAGCTCCACAACTCAGGACCAGAAGCTCTTTGACAGAGATTCTCTCCCTGTGCCTGTCCTCGAAACCTACAGGACCTGCAATACCCCTCCACCTCTCAACATCCTCTCACCTTACAGGTAGGACTGCAATACTCCTTGTTCCCTTGCAGAGAAGAGCCTCTTCCTCCCAGCCTGCTGGGGAGGTCCTTCCCTCTGCTGTGCTGGACTGAAGTAGCTGTTTCCACTGGGAAATGGAGCTGCTAAACAAATCCACCAGGAAATCTCTGTCCTTTGGATTATGTGAAACTTTGCTTTTGAGGTCATACAAATGAACGTAGCTAGAAAATGATCTCTTTGGTTTCCTGCTGCCACTTTTGTGGGTGCCTTGGGGCCAGGCGTGGCTGGCTCTGCAGAACCATGCTGGGTGTGCTGCAGATGAGGCATTTTTCTTGTGCTCCTCCGTAGCCCAATGGCTCCTTTCCAAAGAGCTGCAGTGTGAGGTGCAGAGCATTCACCTGGAGGTGGCTCTCACCCAGGTGGGTGCAGCAGGCTGCTGGTGATGCTTCCTGTGGCCTCCTCTGCCTGGTCTGAGACATCTGCTGGGACCTGCACTGGTCTGGTGGGACCTACACTGGCTGTGCAACCAGTTCTGAGCAGTCCCACTCTGATTCCATCTTGTGGGTAGTAGAAGTAAAGGGGGTCAGAATCCAGAGACTTATCCCACATCCATAAATATCTTCTGAGCAGGTAAAAAGTAATTACAGATAGCTGGAGGCAGCTGTCTCCTGCCAGACGCGGCTGCACTGCAAAGTGGGAGGAGAGGGAGTCTGTGTGCGCTCATCAGGAGCTTCAAGGACGCTGCTGGTCTGATTTAGGGTTCCTGAGCTGGAGGAGGAGGTTTTCCCACACCAAAATACTGCACAAACAAAAGGGAGTTGAAGTGAGAGACCTGCTGCTCTCCTGGTGGTTGTTCAGAGCAGTGGAGCTCTTCAGGTGCTGAGTAATGCAGGGTTTGTGTGAGGGCAGGAGGAGTGGGATGTGGGAGAGCTGGGGTGACTGACATGGGGGCTCTTCCTGTTCTGAAATGGGGGGCAGAGGCAAGAACAGCACTTGTGACCATCTCACTGCACTTCTAAGCTGCCATCTGAGATAGTGCCTTGTGTTTCCTTCCAAGAAATGTGTGACCTGATCCTTGCCTGTGTGTTTCTCTCCTCCCCCTGTTGCAGGGATGATGGCAAAGAGGCACTTAAATTCTACACAGATCCTTCATACTTCTTCGACCTTTGGAAGGAGAAGATGCTTCAGGACACCAAGGATATCATGAAGGAAAAGCGGAAACATAGGGTGAGGAAGGGAGGAGTAGGAAGTGGGAGGTGTTAATAGATTTTGGACTCCAAATTTACTATCCAAAACTCAGGCTTGCACTTTTGGACTCCTATGGGATCAATTCAGTGAAGTTTTATCTGGTTTACCCACATCCTTGTTAATTAAAAAAAGAGAACAAAGATACCTCTAATTGGTTTTTCCAAATGCCACTGTCTTTGGGCCTTAATGTTAAATTATATTATAGCATAAGAGATTTATTTAGCTTTTGAGCAACTGGAGTATTAAGCATGAAAACAGATTGTGATTCTTCAATGAAAAATAAAAAGGAGAGATGTAGGGTGTGTTAGAATTCTGAGTGAGCCCCAGTTCTCTGTGGGCAAGTGTCCATATTGCACCCCAGAACCCTGAACACCATGGGGGTGAAGGTGAAATTTGGGTGTCTTGACACAGAGGCCAAAACCTAAATTGATTTGGGAAACTGAGCTTTTACTCTGCCCTCAAGCTGCTTGTGCCAGGGGGTGATGATGGCATCGTGTCTGGGCTGCTCTGGGCAACCTGATGTTGTCTGGCATTTTTATGTTGTCTGTGCTCCAGCTTTTTTTTATGGAAGATCTTTGGAGAGTGCAGCAATCAGGAAAGTAAACTAAAAATCCTCTTTGAGAATGTGTCTTGTTGTGACTGCTCCAGGTTTGTCCTGTCCCTCTCTATTCCCAGTGAATTTAAAGTAAAATAAAGCTTGTGTTTGATTCCTCCTCTCTTAGAAAGAGAAAAAGGAGAATCCGAACCGAGGAAATGTGAATCCACGGAAAATCAAAACCCGGAAAGAGGAGTGGGAGAAGCTGAAAATGGGACAAGAATTTGTCGAGTCAAAGGACAAGCAGGGCCCTGCTGGGTAAGCAGCTCTGGGCTGGGTGATTGGGATGCAGTTCACCCTGCACTGCAGCTCCCCTGGATCCACGGATCGATGCTGCCACTAATCACATTCTCCCAAGTAAATCCGCCTGCTGATTTAAAATTTGCCAAATAAATCAGGGAGCTGGAACAAGGTGGCAGGAGTGGCTCTGGCTGCTCTCGCTGCCTGTGGGCACAGGGTGTTGGGAGCTTTGGCTCTGCCCCACGGCGATGCCCTTCCCTCACACCCAGCCGAGGGTGGCAGCTCGGTGCCATTGTGTGATGGCTTTGTTACATTTCACAAATGGCTCTTCACACCCTAAAGTTGAAGCGGGGGCTGTCCCCATCCAAGTATTTCAAGCTACAGATCTCTCTTTAGCACTTCTGGCTTGGGAATTCATTTAACTTTTGACACCAGCAAGGCTGGAAGCAGACCGAATTCCCCACAATGCTCCTCTTCCTTGCAGCTTCCTTTCATATAAGAAAAAAATCTCTCTTTAAATCACAGTCTCCAGCTAAAAATAAAACTTGCTTTTAGTTTAATAAGAGAACAGGTTTGGTTTCTAGCAGGGGAATCGAGCAGCACAACAGCACCATTTTCTTGCTCCTCTCTTTTCTCATGTGAGTGTTCTTGCATTTGGATTCACTTGGGGTCCAGAGCCCCCAAAAATAGGGTGGTTCCCCCTCCCCACAGTGAAATGAGTCTGCTGAAAGCATGAGAGTCTCTTTTCAGTACTATTCCAGCTTTGAATACTTGTTTTAATGGCATTGCAGTTTCCATTTTGATATCCTATTCTCAAGCTTACTTTTTGGCAACTTTGAGTATCTCCTGTTTTTACCACTGATGATATCAGTGTAACTGAAAGTTCTTTAAGTACAAGTTGGTAAAAACACTCTAAAGTGCTTTTACAAAATCAGGTGTTAAAGAGAAATGCATTTTTTCAGGTGTTTGCTTGTTTATTAAAATATATACCCCTGCTGTTCTGGTGTGCAGCAGCCATGAACAGGGCAGCACCTGAGCAAATTTTAGCCAAAGAATTACATAGAGCAAACACATACAGGTGTATGTGGTTCTCTATGTAGGAGTCTTTGAGAAGTAAAGGGGTTTTTTAAATGGTGTAAAATCATAGATTGATTTGGGTTGGAAGGGGCCTTTAGGTCCATCCACTTCCACCCCTGCCATGGGCAGGGACGCCTTCCACTGTCCCAGGCTGCTCCAAGCCCCATCCAACCTGGCCTTGGGCACTTCAGGGATCCAGGGGCAGCCAACCTCTCTGGACAGCTCCCTGGGGATGAAAAACGAGCTTTATCCATTGCCTTGAGCTGTTTAAAGAAGCTGTTTGTGTTGCTGTTCCCAGGTACCCCTCCAGCATGGTGTACCAGAACGGCAGCATCGGCTCCAGCGAGAGCATGGACGGGAGCTGCTACCCGCCGCCGCCGCAGGCTGACTCCATTGTGCCACCACCTCCCTCGTTCCCAGATGACAGCCTGCCTCCGCCCCCGGTGGAATTTAGGTAAGCCTACGGGATCCCTTCTGTCACCGAGGAGTAGTAGGTGGTGTAAAAGGATGACATGAGGCAGGCTGAGATAGTTCAGCAGAGCTTCCCCATGGCTGGTGTATGGGAGCCAGAATGCTCCTGTCTGGAAGGGAAGTGCAACTGCAGGCAGGGCCAGAGGACAGGCAGCAGGGCTCTCTGTGAACCCCAGCCACCATCACCATTCCAGGCAGAAGGGGAGAGCTAGAGCAGATTTATTCCACAGCAGTGTCCCAGTGAATGGTTTGACCTCATTGCTGTGGCTTTCCAGTGCAGTTCCATAGCATGGGCTTCTGTTCCTTATGTTCCGTTTGCACAACGCTCTCAGGCACATTGTGCAATTCTTGGGGGGTGTCCTGTGCAGGCCCAGGGTTGAACACGATGATCCTTGTGAGTCCCTTCCTACTCAGGATATTCCATGGCAGAGCTTTGCAAAGAACAGCTTCTTTAACCTCTTTTGCTCTGATCTGTGAGAAATGCACGACATGGGCACTGGAGATGGAGATGTGTTTAAGTTTCAAGGACTTGAGCACAGCAGCTGCCTCCTTCCCAGAGACCTGGGTGCAAGTTCAGGTCATTTACTTGGGATTGAATGAAATGGTGACTCCCAGGCACCTCCAGAGATGAGAGTTACGGTCCAGCAGCGGCTCAAGACGCAAGGGGCGAAACAAGAGTGGACTTTTTATTTTTTTTTTTAAGACATTAAAACAGAGTCAAGAGGAACAAGAGAAAGTCTGTCTGATAGACAGGGCTGCTTGGCTTCTCTCCATCTTATCCAAAGGCAGCAATGCTGCAGCAAAGGCTCTTGTGATGTGTCAGAGAGACCCAGCACTGCACTCTGCAGCCTGTGCCTCTCGGGCAGAGCAGACACGAGCTCTCAGATGAAGCTCTCACTGCCTTATGCAGTTGCTTAGATCTCTGCCCAGCCCCACAGATCTCCCCTCTTCTGGTTTTGTTTTGATGGTTGTTTTTAAGGAACCCTGGGAGGTAGATTTGATCTCCAGGAGTCTGTTTTGGATCAGCACTGTTAAAAATGGTGATGCTTTTGTACCTTATTTTTCCGTCTTGCCATGGAAGGAGGTCTCAGTTTGGGGCTTCCCTTGCACAGGATGTCACACTGTCACATGAGCAGTGGAGTCCTGTGGGATGAACAGAGCCTCCACAATGGGAGATTCAGTCCCTCATGCCTTGGTGCTTTCCATAAGGGCACGTTGGGTTCCCATGTCCTTCCCTTCACTCCCCACAGCAAGCACTGAGACATGGCTGCTGCACTCCAGCTCTGAGCTCTGGAATCCAGGGAGGAGATCCCTTCCCAGCAGGTGACCAGAGCATATGCTTTCCTGGCATCCCCGCCCTCCTTGTGCAGTTTATCCCAGCAGATATCCCTGACCCCTGCCTGGGCCTGGCCTCTCACAGAGGTGAGGTGGCTCATGTTCTTGTCAGCCTGGAGATGGGATGGAGGACAGCATTCCTGCCATCCCTAAAAGCTTTCCTTTTTCTGGAGGTGTAGGCCAAAAGAAACAGTGCAAGGGAACTAAAACCAAGGAGTGAGGTCTCATGGAAACATCAGTTAAAGCTGGAACTTGGATTTTTTTTTGTCTGGACTGCAGCAAACACACATGATTTGCATTAACACAGAGACTGTACAGTCTGATCTGGCCTCAGGGCTGATTCCCTGTCTCTCTCGTTCTGTTGCCACAGCTATCCTGTAGACAACCAAAGAGGTTCTGGTTCTGGAGGGCCCAAACGATCCAGCCTGGTCAGCCCGAGCCACCCGCCGCCAGCCCCTCCGATCGGCTCTCCCTCTGCGGCCAGGCCGGGCTTTGCTCCCCCTCCAGCTCCTCCTCCACCGCCTCCACTGATGGAAAACACCCCCCCTCCGCCCCCTCCCATGGGCCCACCCCCCCCTCCACCCTCCGACACCTCCACGTCCAAGCCCAAGTCGTCCTTGCCCGCGGTTAGCGATGCCAGGAGCGACCTGCTGTCGGCTATTCGGCAAGGTAAGGTTGTGTTTCCATGCCAGCGCCCTCCTCTGCCTCTGGAACACCCTTGGGAGCTGTCTCCTGGGAGCAGTGGGCTGCCTTGCTGCTCAGGGCTTGTCCCTTGTGGTCCCTCCGTGTCTGCCCACCCTCCTGAGGGCTTGCTGGGTTTTATGCTTCCCCCAGCACTTTAGGAGATGGCAGTGCCGGGATTGGTGTCACCCAGGTTTGCTGGGGAAGGCGCAGCACTGGGGTTACCCTGTGGAGGGCCACAGAAGGGATTTGCTGCCCATTCCACCTCCCCACCCAGCCTGTCCTGGCTGTCACCATCAGCGTTACCCCAACACAGCCAGCCTGCCTCGCTCAGAGCACTGTGACACGGGGAGACTTCATCGTGTGCCCGGGACCTTGGCATGATCCCTGTGTTCCCCTGTGCCCAACAGGCTTCCAGCTGCGCAAGGTGGAGGAGCAGCGGGAGCAGGAGAAGCGGGACGTGGTGGGCAACGACGTGGCCACCATCCTGTCGCGCCGCATCGCCGTGGAGTACAGCGACTCCGAGGACGACTCCTCCGAGTTCGACGAGGACGAGTGGTCGGATTAGCCGCGCGCCCGCCCCTCCCTCCCCGCCCGCCCGCGTCAGGTGGCCAAAGCCCCACCGCGTCCCTCTCATCCCGCAGCCAAAGATGTGCCAAGGGTTTCCACACAACCAGCAGCATATCTCCCCTCTCGCTGCCCTGCAGCTTTGGCAGCACTCGGTGCTCTGCCTTCCCCAAAGGTCCCCTCACGGATGAGGATGCGGCGTTGGGATTTAGCTGGAGGGGGTGTAACGGTTGCTTATTTAAAAGAGAGCTAAACCTCCAGATTTTTGATGCCACCAGGCAGAGCACATATAAACCCTCCATCCTGAGGGATTTTTAAAGCAAAGATGGATGATCCTGTTGTGGCCATGTGGCCTTTTGGATGAAGGACATTTTCAGCTGGTTTTCTCAGTGCAACAGCAGACAGTTGATCTGATGGCTCTTCCTTGCCAGTGAATACTGGTAGTGCTGCAAGAAAATGGGCTTTAAATGTCAGTTCTCTGCTGCATCCCACTGTCAAATAATCAGGTTTTTGGCAATAGTGCACAATTCTTTCCCCCCTGACCCCTGAGTATTAATTCCAGATCACCCTGCGTGGGGTGCATTTCCCAGCCCCGAGGGTGCTGAGTGCCTTGGGTGCAGTGTAAGGAGAGACTTTTTTATTTTAGAAGCTGCCTTTACCTTCCTCAAATCTCCTGCTTTGCCAAGAGGAGACTTGCACAGAGGGATGTAAAACCAGGGCAGGATGCTTGTTCAGCTTCCCACTCTTGGGAAAGCAGAGCCACTGCCCCACTGAGACACATCTGTGGTCAGCTCTGAGCGGTGGCCAGACCTCGCCGGGCTGATTTTCTCCAATTCATGCTGAGACTGTGTTTTAAAATTCCAAATCCAGTGCCTAAGACAGGGAGATGGGGTGGGGAGGGGTTCTCTGAACACCAGGCACTGTGGTGGTCTTTGGCCTGCCAGGGCAGTTTGAGAGGTGCTTTTCTTAGCGGGGTGACCGTACTTTTAACACAGGGACTTAAATGCTGGTATTGCCTTTGCTTCTTCTCCCTTCCCCCTGGGGAGGGGAGTCTGTGTGCCTAAAAACATCATGTGTGTGAGCTGAGTTGCCCATCAGTTGCATCAGACCTAACCTACCCTAATTTTGTTATTATAATTCATTAGTTAATTTTAAGAGAATGTTTTTTTCTCCTCACTAGCCCTGTGAATTAATTCCCAGGCTGCTCACTATAGATCCAGTACTGGCAGGGGAAAATGGGGAATTTGAACTATCTGACCTCGGTTTTATTGCTGTTTTATGTTACCTTACATAGAATATGAGCATATCTTGGAAACCTAACCCAGATACCCCTGATGTGTATTTTAATTTGGACATGACTCACTAAGGGTCATGCAAAAAGCAATTCCAAAGCCTTTTTGAGGTTATGGGTCCAGCTGTTGTGGGATGTGTGTCCCACTAAGACCAACTCTCCCATCTTTTTGCCTTTCCTAAAGTATTTCACCAGCCTGTGCCTGTCTCTCTTCCCTGCCTCGCCTCCTTTAATGATGTTGCTGATACCTGGAACGCTGGGCTCTGCCCGAGGCTGGCTGGAAATCCTGCTTGGGAGTTGATTGATGGCTTCAGCTTGTGCCATGGAGTTCTTACTGATTCCTTGTGTTTGTGTGTGTGTGTGTGTTAATCCTGGCTGGGGCAGAGCTGGCCTGGAGGATGGGCTCAGGCTGGGACCCAGTGAGGCCCCAGAGCTGCCAGCACCATCGGGTTTTGTCTGCAGGCAGATGCAGAGGGCGTGGGCAGCCAGGCATCCCAGTGGGCTGGGAGCACCTGAGCAGCACTAGTGCCAGGTTCTGGAAGAGGGAGCAAACCCCTGGAGTGCAGGTGAGCTGTGCTGCAGTGGAGAGACTTGGAAATGCACAGGGGTGGTTGCTGCAAGCTGGGTGAGGGGATGAGAGAGGCACTGCCTTGTTCTGCTGCTCTCTGCCAGCATCCTCCTCAGCTGCTCTCTGAGATGTTCCCAGGAACAACGGGCCCTGAGCTAACCTGGGCTGACAGCAGGATCACACAGGGAGGAGAGGAGCCTGCAAATGCCAAACCTGGCTCAATCTGAGATTGCATTAACTAGACTTAGCCCTCGCTGGGAAAGGGGAGCGAGTCTTCCTGTCACCTGAAATACCAAGAAGTGCCATATTCCCTGAGCCCCATGGATGCTGTGCCAGGCAGGGCCGTGCCTGGGCGCTGGGGACACGTCCCTCACACTGCCTCTTGCACAAGGATGCTGCTGTGTGGGCACAGCCACGGGTGGAGGTGGCTCCCTGGCCTCCAGGCAGTGGGAGGGACACTGCCTTGTCCCTGCAAGCCTGCTGGAAACACCCTCTGCTCCAAATCCCATCCCAGGGCAGGCACCAAAATGCAGGATCCTAAACAGAAGGGTTGTGGACAGGTAGGGGAGGTTGGTTGTTGGAATGTTTTTTAAATCTCCTTTGATTCCTGCCTTTCTTTTTTCCTCAATCTTTGATTGCCTTAGCCTGTTGGGGATCCCTGAGAAACAGCTGCTCTAGAGAGGGACCATCTCTGTGTCCTTGCAAAATGGCAGAGCTCTGGGCCACCAAGTGAGCTGAATGTTTTTGAAAGCAGTAGGGGAGGAGGAGAGGTGCCAAAACCAACCTTTGCAAGACCGAGCAGCTGCGCTGGAAGTGCAGGGCTGCCCTGCCACCTTTGCCCCCGTGCTGGGGACTCCTACTCCTCCCTCCCCTCTGCTGGGGCTGGGGCGAGCCTCAGGCAGTTCCCAAAGCCCAGGGCACGAGCTGTGCTCCCCCCTCAGCCATTCCCCCATCCCGGGAGCCGCTGGCTGGGGGCTGCAGGCTCCCTTTTCCCTTCCCTGCCTGGTTAAACATTCTCCCGGTGTCCTCGCCCGCAGTGCTTGGCTGCTGCTCCCGGCAGCCTCTCCCCCGCCGCCCCCCTCGCCTGGGAGAGCCGGTCCCGGCTCAGCCCGGTGACCTTCACTGCTTCTCCTCTGCTTATCAGAGCCAGAGCCGGCCAGGGGCTCCCGAGCTCCCACAGGCTGCGGGATCCTGCACAGTGTCATTTCAGGGAAAGGGTACATTGGATTTTAGAATTTTTTTTTTTTTTTTCAGAACGTGAACTTATTTAACGTGTTTCTTTTGGAAGTCCCTGCCCTGGAGGGGCTCTGGGACGGAGCTGCCTGGCAGGGCAGATGCAGCTGCCCCGGGTCAGGTTTCACTGCTGTTGGATTTCGGGGGTGCTTTCTTCTCTTCCGTTTTAAACAAAGCCTTGAAGTGGAAGTGGATCCGATGTTTTTATTACTGTATTAACATTCATTTTAATTCACTTCAGAAACTAACCCATTTTTCTTCCTGATTAGAATGTCATAGAATTAGACAAGCTGTAACCCCTCCTGAAGTGCCTTATTTTCCTACATGATATAAATATATTTATAAGAGTAATTATTCCACTTATATCTTAGGGGTTTATTGCTGAGCAGGAGATAAGGTGGGAGAGGAGGGATGGGAAGTGCCCTCCACAGACCCAGCCAGGCTGGGGGTCAGAAGGGCAGCGTTTGATGGATACTCTCAGGGTGCAGGGGGTTCCTCGCTTCAGACCAAAGGAGTTTCAGCAGTGAAACTCTGCTTAGAAAGAAGAAAAAAGGACGAAAAACCCCAAACATGTGAGCAAAATACTGTAGATTTGTCAGGTTATTTTTTTACCCCTGCAAAACAAACACTGATGGCCGGACTCTGCAGGGAGGCAGTGGGTGTGGGGGATCAGAGCCTGCCCCGGTCCATCCTTGCACATCCCAGTGCAGACTCTGCCTTCTGTATCCCCATGTAATGTCTGTGCTTTTCCCTGTCGGTTGCTGTATAAGCCAGATTTCCTGCTGCTTTGTTTTGTTGTTTTTAATAATCAGCTCAGTAACCCCTGGATGAAGATTCCAACTGCAAATATTTTGTAATGTACATGTATAAAAAAAAGTAATAATTTTTTTTGATTCTTTTTTAAAACTTGATAAAATCTTTCTATCCACTCGGTGCCTGTGTGTGTTACTGGGGGGTGTGAGCTGGGCCTGGCACAGGGGCTGCTGTGACTTGGAGTCATGGAAAGGTTTGTGCTGGAAGGGACCTTAAAGCTCATCTCATTCCATGGGCAGGGACATTTTCCACTGTCCCAGGCTGCTCCGAACTTCATCCAGCCTGGCCTTGGGCACTCCAGGATGGGGCACCACAGCTGCTCTGGACAAACCTGGCTCATTCCTGGCAGCGTGGGAGGTGCAGGGGCACAGCCAGTGGCGCCTGTCCTTGTGCCCTCAGAGCAGCCCCAGGTGTCCCTTGGGAAGCCCAGTGTCCATGCTGGCTGCCTCCTGCCCAGGCAGAGCCCGAGGGCAGCCGGCATCCCGAGCTGTCTGGCAGACACCATCAGCACAGACACCCTTTCCATGCCATGGTGAGCTGAGGGCTGTTACCAGTGGGAATTTGAGGGTCACAGTGCCAAGGAAACCCCACCCAGGAGCAGCCTCCAGCCTCCCTGCCATAGGAAATGAACGCGGGCTCCATCTTGCAGAGCAGAGTTGCTGCAGCTGGGCTGGGAAGGGGCTGCAGCAGCTTTTGCCTCCATTTCACAGCTCCAGCTCCCTGGTGCAGTGAATGTGCCTGGCAGCGGTGGCTGCTGGCCCCGAGCTCAGGTGCCTCGTCTGGCCTCGCTCCGTGGGGCTCTGTTTTCTTGCTGCTTGGTGAAAAGCAACAAAAGGCTCTGTCCCTGCTGCTCCTCGTCCCTGCTTTTACCACGGGCTTTGCTCTGCCAAATTCCCTTGGCTGTAGGAGACACCGGTGCCTCGCTCTGCAGCGCTGTGCCTTTCTTGGCTGACAATGGTCCCTGGCTGCAAAACCTCATTAGATTAATTGGCCTTGCCAGCTCCTGAACAAGCAAGGCCTTTAGTCGTGCAGGGGCGCAGAGGGCAGAGGAAGGAGGGAGCTCTGGGGCTTCCACACGCCCTGGAGCTGCGTGTCCCAGCTCTTGGCTCCAGCTGGAGCTGGGGAGGAGCAGCTGGAGCTCCTGGCTGCCTTTGGCTGGGCGTGGCTGTGGCCAGGTGGAGCCTTTGCTTTTCTGGGGTGCAGGACAACACCTAGCCTTGTGCTTTTGGAATGGCAGCCCTTGGAAGGCGTTGTCAGAGTTGGGGTGGCATAGATGAGTTTTGTGCTGGTTTAACCCCCTAAACAGCAGGGAAATCTTAGCTCCAGATCTGCCTTCCTGGGTAAGCCACGGAGCCCTGTGCTTCCACCCTCCCCGGAGCCGGGAAGCTGCTGGAGGCTGAGGTTCAGCTGTGTGCAGGGAGGGGAAGGCCAGCAGTGATTGATTGTGTGAGCCCCAGCCCTGCCCTGGGCAGCCCTGTGCTGCTGCAGCCTTGGCACACCCACCTTGGCCCCGGCCTTTGATCCCTCTCCGTGCCCGTCTGTCCCTTCCACATGACTCGGCACAGGATCACAGCTGGCCACGCTGCGGCTTCGCAGGAGCCCCCGTCTCCCAAGACCTATTTAATTTTCTCCTTCAAGGTGGTGTTAGCAACACCCAGAAGATGCTGCCGGCTGCCTTGGACGAGTGGGCTGTGTGTCCTTTCCACCACTGACGTCAGCTTCTCTCCCTTAATTCCCCCTCTGGGACCGAAGCAGGAGCAGGCGCTGCCAGCTCGGATCAGCGTTAGCAGCCTGCTCTCCCAGCGTGTGGCAGCCGTGCCAATGTCACCCCCGACTCCGCTGCTGTCCCTGGCCAGGCAGCATGGGTGGTGGGAGAGCACTGCCCTCTCCCAGCGCCCTGGAAGGGCCGGGTGCCAGCAGAAAGTCCCCGTTGCTCGCACGTAGGTGTGCTGAGATGGCAGCTCAGCCCCTCAGAAATGGCTGACTCCTCTCTGGCGCTCTTGCTGCCTGGTGGGTTTTTTTCTCTCCTCCTCCCTGCCTTTGCCGTTGCCTACGCCGTTGTGTGGGGAAGGCAATCGGCTCCCGTGCTGCGGATGGCTTTATCTGTAACTCTTCCATCTGCTCACAGCAGCTCACAAATAACCACGGGGTGCCAGAGGAATTATGTTATTTGGAGCTCAAGTTTCTGCAGTCTGGCAGGGCAGCAGCTCTGCGCCGGGCTCAGCCGCTCTGCAAAGGCCAGCGCCGGCACGGCCAGGGCTTCAGGCAGGAGCTGGGGAGGTGGCCAGGGCTCAATTGCTCTCCCATCCAGTCAGACAAAGCCCAGCCCTGAGCCAGCAGGGCAGCCTGGTCCTCCGGGAGCTTCCTGAGGAGAGCAGAGGGTCCTGCTGGCCCCGGGTCCCTGCACAGCCCCGGGCTTGTGGCACGCGGCCCCTTCTGCGTCGCGTGGGGTGACAGGGACAAAATGGGGGGCTGCTGACCCCCTCTCCTTGGACTCTGCTGTTTCCCAGCAGGCTCAGCCCTGTCAGGCAGCCGTCCCTCCCTGGGCAGCACCCGGGATGCTCCAGAGCCGTGGCTGTGGCGGTGGCCGGGGACGATGCTCGAGGCCGAGCCGGGAAATGCCTCCCGCTGCCTCCGGCATTTGGTAAAGCACTTACAGCAGGGCCGTGTTTTCTTCATTTCCTGCCTGCTGCCGCTTCCAAGGAAACAAAATCCCCCAAGCTAGGGCTGAGGTTTCTCATTTAAATGTAACCCAGGCCCACAACTGGAGCTGCCAGCCCTCCCCATGGCCCGGCGGTCCCGGGGTGGTGCAGGAGGACTCGGGACTCGTGGTGCCATCACGGGCACTCAGGAAGGCCCTGAGAGCAGAGCCCCATCCCTGGGGTGGGGTGTGGGGAAGGGCAGCTCTGGGCTGTGCCCCAGGCAGGGCAGCTGGGGTTCAGGGTGCCAGGGGGAGGTTTTGCAGCAGCAGCAACCTCCGTCCCTCCTCTCCTCTGGCAAAACCCCGGTGGTTTTGGCACCAGGGCTGGAGCAGGGTGGTTTGGGACCAGCCCTGGCTCTGTTGTGGGTGCTGCCAGCTCTCTCACCTGCACGGTGGCCAAGGGCAAGTGCTTGGAGCCACATCTGGGCCCCGCTGCTGCCAGCAGGGCCAGGGCTGCTCACACCAGAGAGGGGGAGTGAACCCCAGCCCACCCCCCTGCCCGCCCTGCAGCTCGGGCAGGCCCTGGAGCAAGAGCTGCCTGTGCTTGCAGCATCTGCTGGGAGCCTGGGGAGGGCTGGCCCTGCCAGATGTGCGAGCACAGCTGGGGTGAGGCCGTGCCCACATCTCTTAGCTCATATTTTATCCCCAAAGTTGGGCTGTTGGTCCCCCCGAGCCTCTCCTGCACATCCCTGGCGTGGGGGTGGCTGCTCAGCACTCTGGCACCTCCTTGGATGGATTTGACTCTTTTTTACAGCTTCACTTTCCGCATCTTTCCCCACCCAGGCAGGGAGCAGGCTGGGCCCTGCTGTACCTGCCCCCCCGGTGCCTCCTGCTCCATCATCCCCCAAGGCCTGGAGCAGCCGGGAATGGCAGGGAGTGGTCACTGCTGTCACCGTGTCACTGTGGTCACCGTGGTCACCATTGTCACCGTGTCACCGCAGCTCTTGTCCCTCTGCATGCCCCGAGCAGCCTGGGGAGCTCAGCAGCAGCAGCAGCACAGCCCTGCCAGGGGCTGGGGAGGGGGCTGCAGCCCTGTGCCCCCACTGCTGGCTGGGGTGGGTGGGAGCCTGGGGAGGGGCTCCAGCAGAGCTGAGCGGTGCTGCTGTGTGCCTTGCACACCCTGGTGTGTCCCTGTCCCCAGGGGAAGTGACAGGGACCCCTGGGAGGGGAGGAACCGGGTGGGCTCGCACGCCTGGAGAGGCTCCCTCTGAAGGCACCAGCAGGGGAGGCACGGGGGAGAGAAAAGCAGTTTCAGCTGCCATGTGATGTTGACAGAAGAATCACCAGTAAAAACTGGCCCTGAACACAGCCGAGCTGGGAATTACGGGATTCTTCACTGCTGGGAGAGGTAGGAGTGGGAATTATCTCCTGAGGGATCTCGGCTGAGCCCTGGGGTAGAGTGAACAGCTCCAGCCTCTGGCTCAGCCTCACTGGGGACAGGGGGAGCCCAAAATTCCCCATCCCCGGTGCTGAGCCCAGCCTGGGAGAGCAGGGACAATCTGGGGGTCCTTCAGCCCTCCCAGCCCCACCTCCCCTCATCGCTCAGCCCGGGGAAATCTGCATTTCCTCTGCCATAAGCAGGTCCGAGCCCGAGGGGGCACAGAGCCACACGGGTCCCTGGGCACCGAGCCCGGGCTGCCCCCGGCCCGGGGCGCTGCCACATCCCGGCTCAAACGCCCCTGGGCAACCTGCTGCCCCCCGAGCGGGCACAGACCTGCCCCGGCGGGGCTGCGCTGCCCTAATTAGCTCTGCCTTCATTAATGCAGCCTCCCCTGCCCCCACAGGCAGCAGGGATGGGCGTCGGGACCCTGCGCGGGCAGGTTTGGGTGTGGGGGCGCTGGGGAGAGGGGCGGGGGGAGGCAGAGCTGCTGCTCCCGCTGGACGCAGGGCCGGGCTGCAGCCCCTGGGGGCGATGAGTCCTCGCCATCCCCGGTGTCACATGTCACCAGCCGGGCTGGATGCAGCCCCTGCGCCTGCTGGGGCCGTGAGGATGAGGAGGGGCGGGGGCCGGAGCGCTGCTCCCCCGGGCCAGCTCCGGCTAACGCGATGTGAAGGGCGCGGGCAGCGCTGTCACTCGGCATCTCCCGGCCGGGAGCGGGGACACGAGCGGGGGCATGGCCCTGGTGGGAGCCGGGAGCCCCCGCCTCTGTGCCCCCCGGGAACTCCGCGCCAGCACCAAACGGCCGCACCTCACACCACAAATCCATTTATTCCCCTCCCAGAGTTGTAAACAAGAAGCAGCCCCCCACCCTGACCCACCCAGGGGTCCCCATCCCGGGGGTCCCCTTCACATCCAAATCCCCAGCCCAAAATGTGCAAATCCAATCCCAGTGCAAAGAAAGGCTTTGGCAGGGGGAGCCCTGGGTGCCGGGGGGGGTGGGCAGCACACAGGGGACCCCAGAACTCGTGGGTTTGGGGGTGCAGCGCCTCCGGCAGCCCCCCCTCCTGAAGGCAGCGAGCACTAGAGGGCAGCAGGGCCCAGCGCTGGATGCGGGAGGGAGGCACGGAAATCAAATTAAATAATAATTCAAATACCAATAAATAAATAAATGGACGGCGGGGAGAAGGGGGGGAGGGGGCTGAGTCCCTCCTCCTCCTCCGGTAACGAGTCTCTCCTCCCCCTCCCCAAATGTATAAAATATATTTTGACTATCTGAGGTAAACAACAAGGTTGTAAAAAAAAACAAAAACAAGAGGGGGGTGAACGTTCCTGGCGTTTCCCCACCCTTAAAAAATAAAGCATCATAAATAGTTTTAAAGAAAATATGAGGATCAGCCCCCTCTCTCTCAGGCATAAATACAGATTATATTACGGATAAAAAATACGTCTTTCTCTCCATTCAAAAAGTGGAAAAATAGAGGAAAAGAAGGGGCTGTGCCCAAAAAGGACAAGGCTGGGAAGAGCTGCTTGGCTCCAGGAGCTCCTGCGGGACGAAGAGGGGGACCCAAGGACGCCCAGCAGCAAGGCACGGGGGCTCAGACGTCGCTGGGCGAGCGGGCGCGGCAGGGCGGCGCGGAGCAGCCGCAGCACGCGGCCCACAGAACCTTCCGGATCTCCCGGTTGCGGAAGGCGTAGATGACGGGGTTCAGCAGGGAGTTGTAGGCGGCGGGCAGCAGCGTGGCGTAGGTGTGGAGGGCGGGCGAGCTGCGGCCCCCCAGCAGCCCGTGGAGGGCGAAGGGCAGCCAGCAGGCCGCCGGCGTGCCCAGGGTGACGGCCAGCGTGGCGGCGCCGTAGAGCTGCAGCACGGCGGCCAGCGCGGCCAGCAGGCAGGCGGCCAGCGCGGCCAGCTGGCCGCGGGTCAGCGGCCGCACCGCGCTGCAGGCCGAGGGCTGCCCCAGGCAGTTCCAGCCCGCCGCGGGCAGCAGCCCGCAGCACGCGGAGGCTCCCCAGGTGAGCAGCAGCATGACGTGCGTCCTGCTGACCGTGCTCTCCGAGTGGTAGGTCAGCGCGTTGCACAGGGACAGGTAGCGGTCGATGGTGATGCTCAGCAGGCTGCTGACGCTGGCCGTGAAGGAGGCGACCAGCAGCCCCACGGTCAGCAGGCTGGCCGCCTCCCAGGGCACGAGGTACTCGAGGGCGCCGTGCAGCAGCAGCCCCAGCCCCGCCAGCAGGTCGGCGGTGGCCAGACTGCCGAGGAGGAGGAAGGCCGGGGCGCGGAGGGCCGGCGTGTGGAGGATGGCCAGCAGCACCACGGCGTTCTCGCAGGAGATGATGGTCCCCGAGACGCAGAGCACGACGTCCCAGGGGCTCAGGGCGAGGGGCTGCGCCACGGACTCCAGACCCACGGAGCTGCCGCTGCCGTTCCTGGCTGAGAACCAGCCCTGCTGGCCCTCGCTGGAGTTGGGGGGCCCCTTCTCCATCATGGTGGCAGAGGGACCTCCGAGAGCAGCCCCTCAGCACCTGCTGCCCGCGGGCTGCCCTGTGCCACCCGGCGGGACAGGGCTGCCTGCCCCCAAGGGCTGTCTTCAGGAGGGTGGGCAGAGCAGCGGGGCTTGAGGGTGGGCTCGCTGTTTGCTCCGAGGGGGTTTTTCTGCATGAGATGGTTTAGTTTTAAAACAAACAACAAGGTTGTGGGGAGGGAACGCGCACGCACACACACACACGCACACACACACACACGCACACACACACACATACACACGCGCACACACACACATATGCACACACACACCCACACACACACACATACATACACACACACACACACCACCCTGCCCCTGCCTGCCTCGCTGCTGGCGGCTGGGCACCGCGGGATTTTGATGGGTAAATCCAGGGGAGCAGGACCGGCAGAGCAGAACACCCACCCGCGGGGGGCTGGGGGCCAAAGCGAGGGGTCCCAAGCAGCAGCAGGTAAAGGGGGTGACCCTGACCCCCTCAGCCCCCCAGAGGGAGCAGACACCCCCCTATCCCCCCCACAGCACCCCCTCTTACCTGGGGGACCACCCCTCCCCAGCACAGCCCTGGACGGGCTTTGGGGGGCACGGCCGCCCCTCGCCACCCCCCCCCCTAGCCCGGCGGCCCGCCCGAGCGGACCCCCC